CCGGGTAACGCCAATATTTAAATCGGGGGATAGAAAGCAATGCGAAAATTATATCCCGGCCTATTTCTACTTTACTAGTGGTGAGCAAAGTTTTTGAGAAGGAAATTTTCCGTTAGGTATAATTATAGTTACCTGTCGGAAAATTCCCTATTAACAAAGTCTCAATCTGGTTTTCGTCCTAAGCACTCAACGGTGACCGCCCTAATCCAAATGTGCGATGAATGGCTAAAAAACATGGATAATGGCAAGTTAGATGGTGTCGTGTTTTTAGATATAAAAAAAGCGTTTGATTCTATAAACCACCCATCATCCACCAAGTAAAATGAATGTACAATTATGAATTTTTTGCATGGAACTAAAATGGTTCGAACGTCATATTTAGTACAGCAATGTAATGTCAATGAGGAGCTATCTAATTCCAAAACTATTACCTGTGGAATTCCCCTGGGTTCTATACTGGGAACAAACGTAACCACCCCAAGCCCCCCCGCACGCTTGCTTTTTTTCAGCTGACCTCTATACAGTATCTGAATGCAATGTTACATGATTTACTATTAGAGCGCCTGGGTACACAACATTCTCTCGAGTGCATATGTAATATAAGAAATTACAGAACAACGACCAAATTTGTTTCCTAAATCAAAAATGCAATCCTCTATTCATGTTATTTTAGATGTTGCTTAGCAAGAAACAACGACTTAATCAAAAGTATTTAGGCGAATTGTACCCAAAAACCTGTGAACGAGACCAACAAATAGACAGCGATCGTCAAAAGGTCCATGTATATTTTCGTACATCTACAAGTCACATATCGCGACAAAACCATTTAAAAATATCTATTGCTTTAAAATATAACATAAAATTTTCAATTGCTAAGAACTGAGGAACAATTAGTTTACTTTTCAAGTATAAGCAATTCGCTGACTTTTCGACAAGATTGAGCTGCAAGCGTGCATTATGGTCTCTCAATGCTGTTGTTTAAATGGCTTTTACTAAAAGCACTATATTGGGCTTTAATTATCGACACGTCTCTGGCAACAGTGTTAAATATTTACATTTTGTTAGCATTGTGCAGAAATGTTGAATATTGAGCATTTATTTATAGCGTCAGCGGGACTGCTTAAGCTTTGCTTTGCAAAAAAGTGTGGTGTGTCGTGCGATTTATTTGGGTAAAGTTCTTTTTAAAATGTATAAAATTGGTCACGAATCAGTCACTGACGCAATCCAATTGATAGAGTCAAAACAACCCAAAGAGAAATAATCCTTTTAAACTCCTTTTAAAATTATTTCAAAATATTCCTTTGTTTGAATAATTATTCATGTTAATAGACTTTATGTTTTCACAGAAGGCAGTGTCCTGTTCTGCAAGATTTTGACCACGTATAGCTTCTTAGCTGACTGCTTTCGTGACGCAGTCCAATTGATAGAGTCAAAACAACCTAAAGAGAAATTATTAGAGTCCTTTTAAAGCCATTTTGCAAATAATCATTTGCTTAAATAATTATTCATGTTAATGGACTTGTCAAAGAAGCCAGTGTCCTGTCTGCAAGATTTTGACCATATATGGCTTCTTAGCTGAAGGCTTTCGTGACGCAGTCCAATTGATAGAGTCAAAACAACCTAGTAAAGATAAATTATTAACGTCCTTTTCAAGCTATTTTGCAAATATTCCTTTGTTTGAATAATTATTTATGTTAATAGAAAGAAGCCAGTGTCCTGTATTGCAAGATTTTGACCATATATGGCTTCTGTTTTTGTTTCTAGCTTATAAACACAATCAGCATCTGGTGCTCGGCTGAACTTGGCGTCTTAAAAGCAACGACGTGTTCCCAGAGGTGCATCCTGAAATTCAATGGCTTTCTTAGTGGTCATTTTTGCGCTACTTTTCATTTCAAAATTACCTCAGTTAGGAGAATGCCTAAATTTAAGTCAGGCTTTCTTCCAAAAAATTGAACAAAGGTACTTGGAAAATCATGTCATCGACAAAAAGCAGGCAGGAAATGAGGTGGAATATGTCATATATTGCTTTGACAATGAATCATGCGTGTCTGTGAATTTCAAAATTTCTGGAAAGCTGAAAGGTCTTTGTGAACTCAATAATTCGACGCTTACTGACACATCTGGCACACGCAACCCAGAATATAACCATCTTTACAAAGTCAAAAAGGTGAGAAAATGGAAGAACAGATCTTTTCAAAGCTCGTTTATACGTCTTCTAGTTGGTATAACTACATGGTGTATGGCCTTTTAAATGAATTTGTTCTATGTATAATGTCAAAAATCCATACGGTGTTCTGTTTATATGATATTAAATCAAACAACACATGTGCACCCCTCGTTTGTTAATCATTGTGCATGCCCGCAATAATTTTCACTGTTGCGGGTAAAGCGTTAGCAAACCGATAAATAATGAAACCAGGGAAATTTAACATGTCTCTATACAATAGCTTGAAAATAACTAAGCTTTTTAGATACCTTATAGCGTTGCGTTCACGCGGGACTGAACGAATGTCACGTAGGAATTAGTCCAGCTTTCTTGTGTGAACACGTATAGAACCGCTCAAGACTAATTTATCGTTTTTGCCGTGTGAACGGAAGAACCGGACAGGCACGGCCCAAATTCGTCTTTGGTAGAATTAAGCCTTAGACTGCTAAATTAGAGCGATTAAGGTCACTTACACGAGGAGTATAGGGTATCCGTGTAAATTTATTTTCTTGTCTGCGCCTTTTTTACACCACGATTTATCCATATCGTGAATTATTTTCGCTCTATTATGTATAGCTGATCGAATATCCCTAATAATTTTTATTCATATTTTTCAGAAGAAAAAAGATTTTGTCCCACCAACTTTCCAGCCTCACACAGCACAAATATCAGGTAACGCAAAGGATAAAATAATGGAAATGCAAACTAGCTTATGAGATTCTTTTCCTTCCTGACCAAAATTAACAATATTGCATGCCATACTATATGTTTTTTTACTACAATCTTGAAATCACATGTGTGTTTAAATTAATATCGTCCAACAACAGCCTAAAATATTCAATATCCAGTTTTCTGTTAGAAAAAACTAGCACGACTCATGCAGATTGCCCGGCCAAATTGACAAAGGTAATTGTTTCCGTCAATATTATTAGTCCTACGAATTGAGATATTCCGGTAATAGCTCTCGCAGATTTAGGTTACAATGAAAAATAGTTCGTGCAGTGCAGTGGCCATATGTATAAGTTAACAGACTTTAAAGACAATAGATTTGAAAAGAAATTAATCCCACGTATCACGAATATATGAATATGCCCCCCCCCCAAATATCGCTCCGCGGGTTCGCTACTGAGTTCGTGTAAAACCTGACTATTGGCTGCTGAACGACATTGTATTTTATATTATTGAAAGAAACAGCGGTGTTGTTTCCTGTTTGTCATTAAAAATTAACTACTGCATAAAAGTAAACTATTTGGGGCTTTTGGGCCTGTTTTACACTAGGGGGAATTATGCGCGCGGAACAGACTTTGTCATTGCTTATGCGCTTTCATGCAAAACTAAATTACGAAGAACAAAGAAAAATTCCGGTCCGCGCGCGAAATTCCGTCTGATTAAAAACAGCCTATATTTATTCCCTTTTTTGTAATACATGGTGATACTATTAACAGGACTGTCATTAATGGAGGATTCCCTTCCTGTTCTAATGGAGGGAAGTTGAACGAGCTATATAAAGAAGAATCCAATACAATATATTATATTAAAATCAATTTCGATGATTCACGCCTAACAGGTTTCCGACTCGACAGTTCAAGTCTGAAGAAGAAAAACGTTTCGAGCAAGGCTGAATGCATATCATCGTGCGTAAAAGAACCATGTTGTAGATCTCTGAACTACAAGGAAAGGTCACCACAAGCTGAGGCTAGTCTCTGTGAGATGTTACGCGATGTGATCCATAATACGTCGAAACAGTTGCAAGAGAATAGTTTTTACGATTATATCTATTTTGATGAGTCACAGAAGGTAAAGTAGCATTTAGCTTATCGTTTGTTACTGATGTGTTCGGGTTTTGAACCATTATTGGCCTCGCATTTCGTAGAAAACAAAATGTCGAGCCAGCATCTCGATAATTAGGAGGCCATGTTACTCATAATATTCTTCTTGTGCTGGTCCAACTCCCTTGTAAAATCTTGAAATTGGCTGTAAAAATCTTATGATTGAGATTAGCCTAAACATGCAATTGTGAGGAAGAGAAGGCTTATCATTTATTTATGTGGAGAAATGTACTTCTTCACACAGGGGTGGATCCAGCACTAGTGCACTAATTTGCATTACAAAACAAAATTGCTATTCTCAGCAGTTTTCTTGTGTCATGCAATATAGTGCACTAGTGCTGGATCCACCCCTGTCTTCACAAAATTTCGCTTCGCACGAAATATAATCTGCCTTGACGTTTTTGCCAAAACTCTCGGTACAGACAAAGATCCAACCTATCAAGAATACGTGGGACTGGGGAGTTAGGTCAGTTGTACCTGAGTCTTAACTAAACTATAGTTTTTCGATCGATCAGCCCCTAACGATTATTTTTAATTAACATGAGGTATTTTTACAGGTATATAACGACTGCTACATCACTCACAAAGGTATATCATATTAAAGTAATCCTGTTGCGTAGAAAGAAAGAATCTTTATTAATAGTGAAATATTAAATTAACGCCTTTATTCTAAACTCCCTTAGCATTTCAATATCTCATTGAGTGGTAGATTTTAATATTCTCAAAACGTTGCATGGCGATATTTCCAGTCGAATTAGCTGGGGTTAACACAAAGCAAATTAAGTCATTCTGGCGGATCCAAAATCGACCAGGATTATTTTTAAGTCATTCTGAGATCCAATTTTACTATTATGAAACCAACAGTTTTTTCACTTTTCAGCCTCTAGTTGTCTGGATTTCAAGAATAAAAATGCTGGATACACAGACGGAAAATATTTTATTGACCCAGATGGAGATGGCCAAGGCAAGCCATTCGAAGTGAAGTGTGATATGACGTCATTTGGTGGTGGATGGACAATGTGTTATACAACAGACAGTTATGTCAATACAAAGACTGAACTCACCACAACACCTGAACTGGGATATCGAGCAGACTGTAACAACATACCGGTAAATATTAAATCATTTAATTCAAACGTGAAAGTTGCACAGAGTTAAAGTTTTTGTTTATTTCAAATGTTTTATTGCAGCAACAAATATATATGGACACAAACCTTTTAAATTCACATGCAGGAGAGGTTTTATAAAATTAAGTAATTAATATTTTTATAAGGGCAGTTTTGTTTTGATTAAAACTAAAACACTCGCGGAACTCAAGCCCTGTTACAGTACATCCTCGATACACGGTTTACATTACGATTTTATTATAAAATCGTAAATATCGCGCAAACTATAAACTACAACTAAGAAATTATATTCCGAGGGGGACAAACTGAGGGGCAGATAACATAACAGACCACTTGCCTTTTAGCGCAGCCCGCTTTGCATGACGGTAGGAGTCGTCACTTTGCAATGGAACGACATGGCGACTGTAATGAGCGAACGATTATTATTTGATGAGATATTTACCAATATTCAGTGCTTCTTGTTTACAATCGATGAGTTATTTTATCTTAAAATAAACATAGAGGTCTCAAACGAAGCGGAGGTAAATTTTTGAGCGAAATCGGTCCATTCTAAACGAGGAAAAAGGAGTTCGAGTGAGGCATTAACAAGACGTTCTTCGCATATTTATGCCTTGAAATATCTCATTCTCCAAAGAAAAACATGTGAGTTCACCAAATAACCGGCGATCACCCAAGAATTTTTACTTACGAATAAGCTTTGACATTTTCCCTTTCCCGATTTTGTATTTTGCGCCCTGCTTTCTAATTCGTATTGCTTTTTAAACTCCGTGAAAATGACCATGCTTGGAAAAATATTTGACCGATTTCGCCTTTATAGATCAATTGCGAAACTTAGTAACCGCGCCTTCGCTCAACATGGAAACGAGGCTTATTATGCAAAAAACAATATTTGTATTTTTTGCAGAACAAAGCTATTCGCCCAGTTATATGCCGTTTTTCGCCTTTGTTTTACATATTTTTCGATTCCTTTCAGCTTGGTTTCATCGTTGTTATCATAGTTTTCAGGTTAGGAAGTTTTGCCTTTCAATTGAGGCGTTTTTGTGGTGTTTTCATTAATCTTTTCGGCTGCTTTCGTCGGGGAAGTATGGAAAAGGCCGACACAAACTCAGGTAAAAATTTAGTTTTTCCAAACTATTTCGTCTCAAGTTTTGAAAATGTATTTCATTTTTCTCCCTCTTATTTGTGCAAAATTTGGCGATATATATTTGGTGCAAAATCTATGTTTTTTATGTCAAAAATTATTGAAAAGTCACGATCGAACAAAACACTATGTTCACCTTTCTCATCTAAAATTTTTTTATACCAATTTTATCGATCGATAAGATGTAATTTGACAGCAATTTTACAGCTCAGCAAAAAAAATAGTAGAAATCTGTTGACAAAAACTATAACAGATAAAATAAGCAACGGAGTTTTATGTTTATTTTCCCTGTGTATGTAAACTACAGTACATGTGACGTGATGCCGACTGAAAAGCAAAACAACTCTTCCACTTGGCACACATGCATGCATGACATGGATAGTAAAATACTTATAACCAAGACATAATATCATTGTCTATTTTGAATTGCCATTTGAATATTCCTTTTCCCGCAATAACATACTATAAAGGTAGCCACAATGCGAGCTGCAGCGTTTTTTAAGATACACCTTTACATGATGGCAAAGCCGAAAGCGAAAAATATTTAAACCGGAGTTCGCAAGTGTTTTTCCGTTTACGATGGTGAACGGAATCCTTTCCTTTTCAAGTATTCCTGGTTTACCCTTATTAAACATCTATTGCATGGTAGTAGATAGAAAGAATAGTGTTTTGTACTAACAAAAATGCAGAATTCAGATGCAAACTCAGATGCATTCGAATTCGACTTTTATAAAATTCGACCTTCAGGCCGGCATGCAAGCTATGCATCGTCTGTACTTTATTAAAACGAAAATAAACAAAAACATTTCAGTCAGTTACTTTTGACCATTTTAACAGTATTTCTGTGGTATAAAGAAAAAAAAATACAGTGATATTTGTGAAGAAATTTGGATAAATGAAGCCATTTCAGTCATCAGGTTTGAAAATTATATAATCTGACTGTCACTTTTCAATAATTTTTGACATAAAAAACATAGATTTTGCACCAAATATATATCGCCAAATTTTGCACAAATAAGAGGGAGAAAAATGAAATACATTTTCAAAACTTGAGACGAAATAGTTTGGAAAAACTAAATTTTTACCTGAGTTTGTGTCGGCCTTTTCCATACTTCCCCGACGAAAGCAGCCGAAAAGATTAATGAAAACACCACAAAAACGCCTCTATTGAAAGGCAAAACTTACTAACCTGAAAACTATGATAACAACGATGAAACCAAGCTGAAAGGTATCGAAAAATATGTATAACAAAGGCGAAAAACGGCATATAACTCGGCGAATAGCTTTGTACTGCAAAAATACAAATATTGTTTTTTGCATAATAAGCCTCGTTTCCATGTTGCACGAAGGCGCGGTCACTAAGTTTCGCAATTGGTCTATATTGTTCAAACACAGACTAAATGTTTTGGCGGGAAATTTGCAATGTTTGAATACTTAATTACTTTTTTGCCGATGTTGAAAACTACGAACAAAAACTACAAATAAGTGCTGTTTGACCTAGGCAAACTTTTCAAAAATTATATAAATATAAAAAGAATATAGTATTTTGAAACAATAATGGAGGATGAACCAACCACTTCAGAAGGGAACAATGAAAGCAAAGTACGCCAATGGAAAACATACTGTTGTGTGCCAGGATGCAGTAATAATAGTTATAAAAATCCTGAGCTCTCTTTTCACAAAATTCCAAAAGATAAAGATGTTAACAAAAAATAGAACAAATTTTTGAGAACAAGAGGATTACTTAACCCTCTTCCTAGTCAAAAGGTGTGTTCAGCTCATTTCCCAGGTGGCAAAAAAACATATAGTGACAACATCCCCCGCACCATTTTCATGCTACAAACTGCTACAAAGTCAAGGAAAATTCCTACTGTCAGAGTGTTTGAAACAGCACAAGACAAGGAGCATGTATCTCCTAGTAAAACCTCAGTTCAGGAGCAAATGTTACCTGAAGAAAGATGCATGGATATAGAAGCTCAAAACAAAACAAAATAAAACACTTACAGGAAAATGTCAAAGCCCTACAAGCGCATAGTGTAACCTTGCAAAAGAAATATGACGAGGATGTAAAAAAAATGGGGACAGTGTTTATTTCGAATTGAAAGGTTTATTGGTAGTGACATTGATTTTCGATTTTATACTGGGTTTCCTAACTACACAATTTTTAAAGCATTTTTTGATTACCTGTCTCCCGCATGCAACCACCTTATTTATCATGGGTCAAACACTGCACCTATATTATCAGAAGGTCAAGCCAAGTGTGGCAAAGAACGATCTCTATCTCCTGAACAGGAATTGTTTTTAGTATTGTCACGGTTAAGATGTGGATTATTGCTACGGGATATTGCCCACAGGTTTGGTTTATGTGAAAGTCATATTTCCCGTATTTGGAAAACCTGGCTGTCATTCCTACAACAGCGCCTTCGGGCTCTACCTATTTGGCCAAGTCGCCAGTTTGTTGATGACAACATGCCAAATTGCTTCAAAACAGCCTTCCCAAAAACCAGGGTTATCATAGATTGCACCGAGTTTTTTATAGAAAGGCCTTCATCCTGCAGAAGTCAATCGATAACATTCTCTAGCTATAAAAATCACAACACGGCAAAGAGTTTACTAGGTATTTCCCCCAGTGGCTACCCTAGTTTTGTTTCAAGTCTGTATTCAGGAAGAACAAGTGATAAAAATATAACAAATGATTGTGGCATCCTTAAACTATTGGAGCCAGGAGACAGTTTAATGGCAGATCGAGGTTTTGACATAGAGTCAGACCTACCCACTGGTGTAGAAATAAACATCCCCCCATTTCTTGATGGAAAGCCCCAACTATCTGTTGACGAAGAAAAGATGACAAGAAAAATTGCTTCAGTTCGCGTTCACGTAGAAAGGGCAATTGGACGAATAAAAAACTACAGAATTTTAAATCAGGTCATTCCAATCACTTTGTCAGATGATCCTGAAAAAATTTGGACTATTTGTTCATATCTAACACTGTTCTTGCCTCCTGTAATTGCTGAGCCATGATTTTTGCCACAAATTTTGTTTTATATTAGTAACTAACATGTACCATTACAGTAAATTGTTGGAAAGTTTCCAATGATATTTAAAGAAAAAAATTATTGTTCATTTATAAGTTGTGAAGTATCAGATAAGTATTCAAAATAAAAGCTGCTTAGCTCAGGTAACATTTTTTTGTCCCAAGCATTGTTATCAAAATAGATTCGTTCAACATGAAGGTCCTTATTTGTAAATACTACAAAATCACACCACTTTACATGGAGTATTGCCATGCTGCCTTGAATTTGATAATAGTAATTATGGTTGTGTTTTAGCCTGATCTCTCCCTTATTTTCTTGAAGAAAAAATGATTTGTCTTGACAAGCCTCATTGATGGTCATGTCTCTTTTTGAGTAAGGGCATTTGACCTCATCAACGCCAAGGTTATTTGTCTCACTTGTATCAGAAACAAGAAAGTCGGGACTTGCTCCCATCCAAGGGAAAGAAGAATTGACTACAAATCCGCACTTAAAGCACACACTAACACTCATTCCCTGCCGATGTTGAAAGTTATGGTAGGCTTTTACAGCATTTTCTTTCTTATCTTTCCCCCACTTGTATGGTGCAGGAGCATTTGCATGTTGGGTTGATTTTGTTATTTTTGTCAAAATGGATTTTGGATAAATTGATTTTCTTCTTTTTATTATAGCCCCAAAGTTTGAGGCTGTTACCCTATTTTCCCTTTCTTTAAACCACTGTTCACTGGATGACTGATCCCTGGTATTTTGTTCTATTTCGAGAATTTCCTTGTGTGTTATATTCCCTTGGGGTAGATGTTGTAATACTTCATCCCGAACCTTTGTATTGTAAATTATACATGCATCTTGTTTCATTTCAATACACCGTTTTTTAGATGGAAGGTTGCTATGTGATTCTTCATATAGGTGTGGCTGAAAATTATTGGATTCCAACAATTTACTAAGGTAGCTTGGTTGTGACTTATTAAGTGCAGTAGAAAGTTTTTTAATATCATCTGGTTGAATTTCTCGAGCAAAGTGTGGTGTAGGATTGGTGGTGGAACTTGAGTTGTATGTTTTGTGCTTTATGCTATTTGTGTCTTTCTCGTATGATGTTTTAACAAATTTTATATCCTCATAGAGGACTGCTTCATCACACTCATCCTTGCGAGGAACATGCCATTGTTGCAGCATTTGTGTGCATGTAAGATCATTTGGAATTTCAGACAAGTCTAATTGCTTGTATTCAATTACTTGAAACATTAGGGCTACAATGTGTTTACATTGCCCCCCTTTGCCAGCCTTGCATGTGCAGTTACCGTATAAAATTTCCCCAGTGTCCTGATTCAGATGAACATACACAGTGTAGACATTTTTTTTCATAGCAGCATTCACACTTGCTTTGATTAGAAAACAGCATAACTGGTCTTTAAATACATTTGCTTTTACTTCTACATTTTTGACATATTTTTCCTTGAACAATCCATATCCCAATTTCTTGTGTTTGTAAGCTCCACCTGAGTTATTTTCCACACTTAACTCAGTTCCTAAGTGCTTTTTTAAAAGTTCAAATTTAAATTCAGGAAGGAACTCTAAGTTCTTTGTCCACCTTTTCAGTGGTTTTTCTGTGTTGTTCCCTTCTGAAGTGGTTGGTTCATCCTCCATTATTGTTTCAAAATACTATATTCTTTTTATTTATATAATTTTCGAAAAGTTTGCCTAGGTCAAACAGCACTTATTTGTAGTTTTTGTTCGTAGTTTTCAACATCGGCAAAAAAGTAATTAAGTATTTAAACATTGCAAATTTCCCGCCAAAACATTTAGTCTGTGTTTGAACAATTTAAAGGCGAAATCGGTCAAATATTTTGCCAAGCATGGTCATTTTCACGGAGTTTAAAAAGCAATACGAATTAGAAAGCAGGGCGCAAAATACAAAATCGGGAAAGGGAAAATGTCAAAGCTTATTCGTAAGTAAAAATTCTTGGGTGATCGCCGGTTATTTGGTGAACTCACCTGTTTTTCTTTGGAGAATGAGATATTTCAAGGCATAAATATGCGAAGAACGTCTTGTTGATGCCTCACTCGAACTCCTTTTTCCTCGTTTAGAATGGACCGATTTCGCTCAAAAATTTACCTCCGCTTCGTTTGAGACATCTATGTTTATTTTAGGATTAAATAACTCATCGATTGTAAACAAGAAGCACTGAATATTGGTAAATATCTCATCAAATAATAATCGTTCGCTCATTACAGTCGCCATGTCGTTCGATTGCAAAGTGACGACTCCTACCGTCATGCAAAGCGGGCTGCGACGAATCATTTGTCTTCCGTGAACTTTCGTCGTTGAGAACCAACAAAGCAACCGGTCTCGATCACATCAGTGCTAAGCTGTTAAAAGATTCAGCTTCCACCATTGCTTCCAGTTTAACGAAGATTTTTAATGCCTCGCTTCTTTCACAAACATTCCCAGATATTTGGAAAAGAGGAAAAATTATTCCTCTCTTCAAATCCAACGACCCAACAGCACCTACCAACTATAGACCTATCACTATTTTACCCATCTTAAGCAAAATTATGGAACGCATTGTTCACAGACAAGTCTACAAGTATTTACGTGAACACAAACTTATTACCTCTGAGCAGTTTGGTTTTCGTCCATATTTGTCTACAAATGTTGCTTTAACGCGGGTCACGGAGGAAATTCTACTCAATATGGACAACAAATTAATTACCGGTGCGGTTTTCATTGATTTACGTAAAGCCTTCGACACAGTGGATCATACCCTTCTAACTGCGAAATTAATGAACATTGGATTTTCCGCACCCGTTACAAAGTGGTTTACATCTTATTTATCATCACGATCAGCCGTTACATCCATCAACAACGTTGCGTCAACTCCTAAACCAGTAACCGTAGGCGTGCCTCAGGGAAGTATCCTAGGACCTCTTCTCTTTCTTATATACATCAATGACTTGCCCCGATGTTTGAAACACTGCAAATCAATTCTGTATGCTGATGATACTTTAATTTACTACTCTGCTAGAACAGAAATTAAAATACAAGATAAAATTAACATGGATCTGATTTCACTGTCACAATGGCTTAATAACAACCTTCTAACATTGAACTACGAGAAAACTAAATTTATGATCTTCGCCAACAAAAGACAATCATCCTTGGTTTCCACCGTAGACATCAACATTCAAAATAAGAAAGTATTGCAGACAACATCATTTAATTATCTTGGTGTTACTCTAAGCAGCGATTTAACTTGGTATGATCATATTGACAATTTGATTACCAAAATTAACCAAAGACTCGGGGTATTGCGAAGGATAAAGGAATATTTAGATTTGAACACACGTTGTGTACTATACACATCGCTAGTGCTTCCATTATTCGACTACGGTGACGTGATCTGGGGTGACAAGAACAATGCTGTATTGATGAACTCGCTGCAAGTGCTGGAGAACAAGGCTGCCAAGATCATCTTAAACAAACATCCGCGATATTCTTCAACCAACGCGTTACGAGAACTTCAATGGTCAACGCTGGCGACAAGAAGACATAACCACCGATGCACGTTTATCTACAAATGCATGCACGGCCTAATTGACTTTGATTTCGACTTAGCGAAGAACGAAGATATACATAGTCACTGCACAAGACGACGCAGAGATCTACACATTCCACGAGCAAGGACGAACAAAGGAAAACAACGACCAACCTATCAAGCTTCAATAGATTTTAATAACCTAGAACATGAACTAAAAAACAGTATTTCATTACCTAACTTTAAGAACCTCTTGAAAAGACGTTGATCGAATATACCATTTGGCATTTGGCTATAAACTTTCCTTCTTCATTCCTTTCCATTATACCATTCTCTACTCAATACTTTTCTTCCACATCATAATCCAATCCCCTCATTGTATTGCATCATATAGTATTATATTGTATTGCGTTGTTACAGTATTGTATTGTTTGGCATAGTATGGGATGGTATCGTTCAGTATTGTATTGTATTGTGTTGTAGCTATATATGTGTTGCTGTAAATAATGCATGTTTCCTTTTGAAATCATGTAACTAATAGATGCAGGACCCCACTGAAAAACACTTCGGTGACGTGGGTATCCTGGTTAAAGATGAAGTTATTAAAAAAGGCAAGTGGTCTATTGGTGGGGCAAATTCCCTCCCATTTATCATCACGTGAATATTTAGTGGCAAATCCTGAGTTATAGAAATGAATTATTGCAGTGCAGCAACTTTAGATAACTTACCTGAGGAACAAAGCTTTTGATTATAAATTTCCAAAGAATATTTTAGAACTCAAGGTTACGAATAAAACTAATTAAAAGGCATTTTAAAATTCTAACAAGACGCTTGCCAGTCTTCAATATAAAGCTTGAAGATTCCTTACATAGACAATGTTCATACTCATTTAGATGTTTTGCGAACCTAAAATCTAAATGTTCGAACGCGACATTCAGAAGCACATCGTACTTTAAAAAGTATAGAAGTTCAATTATTGTTTAAATATGTAATAAACCGCATGTTACGTTCACTTTGCCTTATACTTTGGTATTCGCGTTCATATTAAATCTTCAATCCTGTGCAAACTGCGACGTGTCAACGCACCCATACACGACCACATCTTTTTAAACGGCGAAATAGAAGCTAAGCGATATTATTAAAATGGGACCAGAATCTACAATGTTCTGTCACAAACGCCGGAGTAATAATTTATTATATCCACTATATTTTTCAACCAATTCTTAGCAATTAACAACTTTTATTCAGTTTACTGAGGTGATGTTTGTTGATGAAAAATCCAAACAGAAGGCAGCTTTTTCCAAAGATGATGGTTCACCTATCACATTTTTTGGTAATTATGACAAGAATGCAAGTATCTATGGCTTATGGACAGCAAATGAAGATGGTGTGGCCACGACGGAATACAAATATCAAATGCTCATCTGTGACGCATTAATCACTAAGGGTCTTTTTTTCTCAGGATATACAAATAACTGCTACAAAGACTGCAATAACTGGTGTGGTGACAAATCATCTGCATATTTTCGTACATCTGTTGTCTCACGTGCAGACTACAAAGGTGTCGCTTTCAACGAGAATGGTCATGGGCCAAAACCAAATCACCTGATAAGTGTAGGAATTCGTTAAGATGTCAACTAACATGGGTGACGTCATATTTATCTTAATATGCTATATTAAGCAAACTGCACACATCAAGAACCGTAAACTTCGATTTTAGCAAATGTTATCACATGCACCACTGTATTTGTCAAGCACGTGTGTTTTATGAAACAATGCAATTGCAACATGCTGATTGTCTTAACGGTATTTAAATAAATTTGTCGTTATACAGTGTGTATAAAAAAAAGATAGAAAATTTTTAAAGTGCTCTGAATTCCACAAATCTGTTTATGAAACTTAATATTTTATATGTGTGGATTATTTCAGTACTTGAAATATAGAAAATATAAAAAAAATCCAAAATAGTAAATTTTTCAAAGCAGTGGCAACCTTCTTGCTTGCCCAGCTAAACGTGGCTTACACACAGAGTTGCTAAACGCTATTCTTCATTTTCTTTCATGTATGAAAAGGTCGACATTTGTTTCATTTGTGTTTCTCCGCTGGTGCTGTTCCTGCTTTGTTATAAACGCATAAATTTGCATAATTTGCATTGAATTAATAATATTAGAGCATTTCAAGCAAAGAACATTTAAAATCTCATATGTACTGGTAGCTAAATTACACTTTTACATAAAAATAGTAATTTAACATCTGAATTGTAAAAGGAGGTAAATTTTACAATTTACAAGTAATGAATTGCTCTTAATCTTCAACGTGTCCTCCATTTCTTTACTGTGCAAACTTGCGCACGTCTAACCATGTCAAAAAATGCACGGCGTATCATTTCTCGACCTTGTCTAAATACATCTATATGTATCTTCACGGATTCGTCGTCCAAGTTCATCGAGATTTTCTCGTGGCGTTATGAAAACTTTCTTCTTAAGATATCCTCAAAGAAAAAATCAAGGGGATTAAGATCTGGTAAGCTGGCAGGCCATTCCACGGGACGATTCAGTGCGATTATCCGGTTAATCAAGCAGTTACCTCTCTTCTTCTGTGAGGAGGCCGGAGCCCACCATACACATCGAAATGGCGCATTATATTACGCCTGTTGCGATAAAGGAGCAATGGCTGTAAAACAGGGACAATTTCGTTATTGATCAACTCCAAGTAGTCCAATGAACTCGTCAAGGTTGTTTTAAAAGAAAAAGGGACCGATAACAGTTCCATTTCCCATTAATCCATCCCAAATCGTCAACTTATGTCGGTCGTCATTTCGCTGATACTCGAAATCGTTTTTCGCCTTGTGGTTGGTATTCTCGAATGTTGCGGGTGTTGACCGAAACAATCAGCGCAAATCCTGACTGGTCGCCGATGAGCAAATCGTTAAGAAAACGGTCGACGTCGTTCCGATCACGTACCACTGACAAAACTGTACTCGCTGCAGATTATCACCGAGAAAAAGTTGGTGGCGCTTAATCATTTGACAAGGATTGAATCTCAAAGCTAAACGTGTTATGCGGTTGAAAGTTGCCGATGACAAACCAAGTCTGTTTCGACGACAGCTTAACCGTGGCCTTTCACCATTCAAAACCTCTCCATTGGCTTCGTCAAAAACATCGCGTACAGCTTCAATGTTTTCAGCACTTCACGCATGCAGTTCTTAGACCACCCGAATTACATCTGTTTAAGTTACAGCTCGTCCTGTTATCACGATACCTCTTAACATTGTGATAAACGATCGCACGTGAAGGGAATCGGACATCTGGATATTCGTTCCTGAAACGGAGGAATTCTGACACCATAAAAGCTCTCTGCTGTTGGGCAAATCGTGGCATTGCCATTTCAAAATCTAGCGGGTGTTAAGCCTAGTTTCCATTCAGTCGTTAGCTGTCGTTACATGTCTTTCCGTGTCTTTGAAATAATCGTGAAAGTCCGATAACGATTGAGAGAAACAGAAATGTCGTTTCCTGTCTTTTTATGTCGTTGAGATAGGATTTGTTCTATCTGAGCGACACTGTCGTTTTCTGTTTCTCTGAGTCTTTATCGGTCTTTCACGATTATTCCAAAGAAAACGGAAAGACATGTAGCGACAGCTAACGACTGAATGGAAACTATAGGCTTTATACGAGAACATGCGTTTCAGAACGAAAAAATCGAAAAACGTTACAAATTCCATAAAAATTCCACGGAAGTCTCATGGCAGTAAAACAAGTTGACAAATGCAAATTTATGAATTCATAATAAACCAAGAACAGCACCAGCGGAGAAACATGCGATGTTTTAATAAGCTATTCGGAGGATTTACATTCGGTTAAATCCCGCCAAAACTCTATCATAAGTGAAACGAATGTCGAACTTTTCATACGTTAAATCAAATAAAAAGTAACGTTTAGCATTTCTGTGCGCAAGCCACTTTTAGCTGAGCAAAAGTTTACAACTCCCCTGTTTTCAAAAATTCAGCCCTGCCGGCAGATAAGTCAAGCCCAACCTTTGTCCTTATTCGCGATTTAACTTGTGAGCATTTCAGCATTTGTGGTTTGATACACAACTAGAACTTAATAAGACACTGAGAAATATATATATAATAATATCACTCAATTAGAAACTCACTAATAAAGGAGTTTATAATTCATTTTCGTCTTAATTAATTCTTCTGAGGTATCTTCCATTAAATTGGCCGACGATTAGTTTTACTATAAGAGCCACTAAAAATTGAATTATTCTGCCACACATCCTCTTTGGGTATGCTTTTAAAATCTGTTAAGATAGACCCACTGAGCTATAATATAATGGAGAGAGCAACTATAGATACAGCCGCTTACTGTGACCACCTAGGGGAGTGAACTATAGGGGAAATGTGATATTTTCCACTGTTTTTGTCTTTTTATCGCGAGGTAGAGGACTAAATCAAATCAAACATACCATTTCAAACAAAAGCACACGTTCAAGAACATTGTGGACCTTTTTTTCATTCAAATGAACTCAATACGAAACAAATATTTCAGTATTTTCGACGACGTTTTAGAGTGCGACAGAGATGAATACATGTGAAACAGTCGTAGAAACAGTCGTAGAAAGATGGGTTATAAGAAAAATGCAAGCTAAGCTTAAAGCCTTCAAATCAATGAATTTATTTTTTAACGTTTTCACCTGACATTATCTATTGCATGTTCTCTCAACAATATAGATCATATAATATAAAGATTGACTGCTGCCTTAATTGACACCTCTGCACATGTTTCAATTGCATTAAACTACAGTACTGCTTTACAAACCTTTTGAGACATTTTCATAGAAAAACCGAGAACTACTAAGAGAAGAGTTAACAGACCTTACCAGTACCATTTATTCATTTTATTCCAATGGCCTCATTTAATTAAACATAATTTTTTTAAAGGCTTTGAACTCAACTTGCATTTTGCAAGTCATCCTTACCTTATATGAGGCACAGACCTAATTACAACTTATTTGGCACAACCCACTATAAGCGTTTCTGCAACAAATATTTTAATACAAAGTGATGTGACAATTGGAATTTCTCCAATAACACACACAGGGCCAGATCCAGTTATTTCCTACATACAGAATACACTTGATTCATTTCATAGTTAATACTGAACAGGTCTTATTAATGTAATCAATACTAAATTCTTGCAAAAGACAATTTCTATAAAATGCCATTGTCCATGGAGATCCTTTTAGAGAAGTAATAATATTAAATGTACCTCGGCACCTGCTATTTTTTCAACCACCTAAAAAGAAATACGAGGTGTATATGACTTTTTCCTCGACGAATCCCACAAATCATGCGTTAAATTATGGTATAATTCGCCAATCTGTTTAAGAAATTTGCATCCATCTGAAAGGTTCCTACGACTGTTTCACATGTATTCATCTCTGTCACACTCTAAAACGTCGTCGAAAATACTGAAATATTTGTTTCGGATTGAATTCATTTGAATGAAAAACAGATCCCCAATGTTGTTGAAAGTGTGCTTTTGTTTGAAATGGCATCCTCTACCTCGCGATAAAAAGACAAAAACAATGGAAAAGGTGGTCACAGTAAGATAGCGGCCACACGCATTTCAGGCTTCAATTTCTTTATGTATGGTTGCTCTCTCCATTATATTATAGCTCAGTGGATACCCTTAATTATGACGTCAAACGAGGAAAGTCTGCGGTATTAGACGACATTTGATTGACATACTAACCAATCATTCAACATCAACTTCGTGTAACATCAAGCTTTCAGCGTCTGACGTCATTACGATCGAGAAGGTCTATTAAAGAGTTTTTACAGGCTTATTTTCAAAGCATGAAAGTTCGATTGTTTGTTGTTTAAGATGTTCTGAATAGGGACCAGTTTTTTTTGGCAGCTTTCCTGATTAGAAATTTATCCTAGTCAATACACTGATTAGAAATCTGGGCAAGGATGACAATACACGTTTTTTGAGATCGAAACCATGATATTGTTGGAATGACTACCCCACTGCCAGGATCATGTTATCATACTCAAGTTCGTACTAAGCACAATATGCCTCAAACAAGCCCTGAGCACAACCAGTCAAATGGCATGGTGGAATCAGCTGTCAAAAAAACGAAACGCCTCATTCAAAAGACTCATGACCCCTCACTGCAAACGCACCAGAAAAAGCTGAGGAAGAAACAAAGCACACAAGCGATGTGCTATAATCGATCAGCGAAAGACCTCAGCAAGCTCAAAAAGGAGACGTGGTGCGTATGAGGCCCACTCGCCTTGGGGAAAACAAATGGCGAAAAGCAGTTGTCAAATCAAAACATGATGACCGGTTTTATTATGTCAAAACGAAAGAGGGCGGAACATATCGGCGGAACAGAGTGCACTTAAGAAGATCTGATGAGCCGTTCAGCAGCAGCGGGAATGATGAACCTCTGGATGACCCAGCATTGGATGATGATGGAACCCAGAAAAATAGTGAAACAGATTACAATGAAAATCGTCCATGTTATGTTTAGAACTCTAGCCGTGACGGTACTTGAAACTTAAAAGACATTTAAATTTTGTTGTACTTAAAATCTCGCTTCTTCCGAGCGATATATCTGTT